CACGCACGCACACACACACACACACACACACAGACACACACACACACACACATAGACACGTGAACAGTCATTCATCTTCTTTTTGTGGAGTTGTAACGAACATGAGAACGCACACACATATGACAGACTTGTCAGGGCTTTGGAACGACAAGCTGTAGGATTGCAGGGTTGGGGTGAAAAAAGTCGACGATCTCAGGGGTATTTGCTAACTCTGGGCGATGTGTCGAGTCCTTATCCATCAGTCCAAGGCAATGCATCCTGGAATTGGTCCCGGGGTCATGAGAAAGTGCGTGCGTGCTTTTCTCGTGGACTCGGAGGGAACTTGACAACCAGCATGCTTGCCCTCTGTGTACGTGTGACTTCTTGTTTAGTTATCAAAAGCCACTCTCTCTCTCTCTCTCTCTCTCTCTCTCTCTCAGAGTAGTCGGGGTTTACGGAAGTCTGCCCCGCCTTTTGACCATGGCGTTTACCACCGCTTTCCCTTTCGATAGGTCACTGCCGTTGTATACCGTCCTAATTCATCGCTGCCATAGCCACAGCGTGTGTCCACAACGCAGTCAACCCCTCTCTCTCTCTCTCTCTCGCGCGCGCGCGCGCGCGTATGGTGCGCTTCCCTTTGCGAGTTTCTTGTCTGCCTTGTTGGTTACGGATTTTTCTCCTTTGTATCTTTCTCGTCTCGTTTTCTTGTGGGTGCGCGGGGCCGTGTCAGTCGTCGCAGGGCCCACGTTAGTCGTCTCTGTATCGTTCCAATGTTAAGGGATGACCCGAAGGACCGAGGGACCCTTCCGTCATTCCACGTCTGAGGGCATACACACACACATTAGCACTTCCCCAAATGCATCCGCCTGCGCATCCGGCAGACCTGATTGAATCCGACCCAAATGACGTCCAGAGCTCCGAATAAAATTTCCTAGTGTGAGTATATGTCCTGACACAGACGTGTCGCCCGATGAAGTGCAAGAATCGAACAACTGTTCGTTCGAAGGTCAAAACGGCAAAAGGGAAACATAAGCGTCGCCACTAAGCGGAACACCGTTCCTTTTTTTTTTCTCCCCTTCTTTTACCGTTCTTGTTCGATTTGTATCTGTGTCCTTCGGGTCATTCATTAAAATTGGAACGATAGACAGAAGATCAGCAGATAGTGTGTGTGTGTGTGTGTGTGTGTGTGTGTGTGTGTGCGCGTGTGTATTGTCATGTGTGTGTGTGTGTGTGTGTGTGTGTGTGTGTGTGTGCGTGTGAGAGAGAGAGAGAGAGAGAGAGAGAGAGAGAGAGAGAGAGAGTGTCCCAGTTTGAGTACTAAAACACGCACTTGTTTTTATGTTGCTGTTGTTGGGAGGGAAATGGGGTCTTGGAGACTTCAACTGATATTCTATGTACGGGTTTTGAAGTCTTGACCGCCATTACAGCCGAACATGGATGCCTGTTTTTTTTCTGTTGAGGATCATCTTATTATTACAAAATGAAGGTAGAGGCCGGGAATCCTCAACAATCAACCCGGGGCTACTAGGTCCCACTTGCACGAATTAAGAGATACTGACCGTAGATAGCAAAGATCAACGGCCGAAATTATCTCCTAATCGGCGCAAGTGGGACCTTGCCCCCGGAAAAGGAGGACTGGGCCCGTTTCCCAGCTTGTAATGGAAAGGCTCGACTCGTTTTCGTGGGGAAAATAAAAAACAAACCGAAAGGCGTTAGTGTTTTGATCTGGCTGCATTTGGATTCGAACATGGGTCTGTGTATCAACAGTCCCCTTGGGCCTTGGTACACCAACTGAGTTATAGGGCCGTGGTCCCTAGGACTTTTTTTTTTTTTTTTTTTTTTTTTTAA